TGTCTTGTATATCGCTGACTACCGAGATACATTCAATGGCAGTATAAATCTCGACTTCTTCAAGTGAGTTAAGGTCGGTAGGATCAAGTGGCCGGCCGCGCAGTTGGTGGTACTTGGACAGCCTTTCGAGAAGAACTGATTTGAGATCGCGAGAGCCTTGCGCTGTATTGCTCTGCTCAGTCAGTGACGATCCGGTTTGTATGAGTAGTGTTATGTCAGGCATCGCCGTCAAGTAGTACGACCACCAAGAATGTATGGCTGTTGCTATACAATTTTTATTCTTTTTCTTGACAGATTCTGACTTGGAGACACACAGAGTTGTTGTGGTAAGAAGAAGAAGCAATGGCTCGAGACTGAATCCACAACCTGTCAGAGTACAAACGCACGTGCATCCGTGGTTAACCAGAATTGGCTTCACCGCGTTTCCAGACCGCGCTTGTTGTGCAACACCTATTTAACACTTTACACTTATCTTCCCACCGTTTTATGCCCCCAGTAACCAGAATTGGCTTCACCGCGTTTCCAGACCGCGCTTGTTGTGCAACACCTATTTAACACTTTACACTTATCTTCCCACCGTTTTATGCCCCCGGTCAAAGGCCCCAATCCTTGGTTGCTTCTCGCCATTACCGCCGCATCGGCCGCCACCTTTGGATTGCTTGTTCGATACAGAGAAAGCAGTGCGCCACTCTCGCAACAGAATCGCAGACCCTTGGATCATCCTCTCGTTCCTTCTGTGGTGAAGGAAAAGGAAAAATAAGCTGAGGACTGATCATGGCACTGGACTCCGACTTATCGCAGGAATCATCTCCCAAATTCGACCCGACGAAAGTAACCGTCATATTTGTGCTTGGTGGACCCGGTGCCGGTACGTGGCTGATGTTGACATCATGGCATCTGTTCAGTCTTCGTTGTTGTAGGAAAGGGAACCCAGTGCGCTCGCCTGGTGAAAGGCTATGGATTCTGTCATCTATCGGGTACGTCGAGCGCGTCTAGACTGACGATCTCCGATGGTGCTGATTCGAGCCAACAGCTGGTGACCTCCTGCGAGCTGAACAAGCACGAGAAGGCTCGCAATACGGAAAGCTGATTCAAACCCATATTAAAGAGGGTGCGATGCTCGAATAAATCATCCTAGTGTAGCATATGAAGTGGCTCCAATACCGTAGGTCGCATCGTACCCAAGGAGGTCACCATCAAGCTGCTAGAGAATGCGATGCGCGCCGAACTCGATGCGAAAGCCCACGATCCTGCCGTGGATGACGGCTGGATAGATGGGCGCGGTAGATTCTTGATCGATGGTTTCCCGAGAAAGATGGATCAGGCACTCAAGTTCGATGAAGCAGTATGTTCCCAGTTCTCATGATGTCCTCTTGCATCATTCAACTTCATGTAGGTTGTATCCGCCACGGGTGTCCTTTTCTTTTCCACTACATTAGAGGTCATGAAGGAGCGACTGTTAGAGCGTGCTAAGACGAGCGGACGCGAAGACGACAACGAAGAGAGCATCAAGAAACGTTTTGGTGTGCCCTTCTCGTTTATCTTATTACTCTCCTGCTAATGTATTCTCAGACACGTATCGCGACACCACCATGCCTGTCATCGAGTACTACCAATCGCTAGGCAAAGTCTACGAGGTATGTCATCATAAACTTTGCTTGCTCCTCTTTGGCTGTCTGCCGAACGTACTTAGTGCCCTTGCAGATTGATGCCTCTCCATCGGTCGAGGAGGTTTACGAAAAAGCGACAGAGGTCGTTAAGGCCATCTTGATAAGCGTTCATTAATTCCTCGTTTCTGCCTAGAATCAAGATGACCTCAATATACAAATCCAGTAGATAATTTCGGAAATCGTATGAATGGTTTTGTGTGAGCCGTATGCATGTTCTATTCATTATGCGCTACAGGTCGTAGAATTGTTCCTATTCAATCGCTTTACCTCTCGCAGCGCTACTTATTTTCTGAATCAGTGGCACAATACGTGTGATGGCTCACCCAGTCTATATAGTAAAGCATGTTCTGCTACGAAATTATTTTTTTAAGAATATTATCATTAGGTCGCAATTAGAAATGCAAAAGCCACGTGACATCCTTGTAAACAATCAATTTTATGATGCTACGCAGTGATCCGTGGTCTTGAAAGTGATTAGACAGAGGCAACCAAGGCCAGAAGTGCTAGGCTCTTAAACTGGCGTCAGCACGTTATTACAAGCCAGCGTGCAGAGGACAGGAGGAAGCTCACAATCATGGGCTTGTATGCATTAAGCATAGTATGCGCGCTTCTGGAACTCACGACGCTTCTGTCCCTCGAAATCAGTGACCGGCTCTCGCGCCTCGAGATTGCGGCGGAGACCACGCTTCCTCAAGGTACGCGTCGCAACTTCATCGTCCGAAAAGCCACGCCTCTGCAAAGAACGGCGGGTATTCGGCTTATCTGAATCCGCATTTTCCGTATGCTTCTCCACTGCCCCGCCCAACTTCCACCCGACAACGGCGCCGATCACTTTGTCCTATGCATGCGTTAGTTTTAAATGGGGCGTAGAAACAACATCGCATCAAGGACAAATGTCCACATTGCTACTTACGAGTAGAGGCTCGCGGGCTTCAACGTTGTGAGTCAAATCGCGGTCGTATATGTCGCGAGCTTGATGAGAAGGCGCTACTGTTCCCTGCAAAGACTGGTCAGAACCCACATCTGTACGTTCATCGAAGCACTAACGACGGTTGGCTCTCGTGCCTCGAGATTGCCCGAGGTTTCACGCCTCTGCAGGGAGCGGCGGCGTTTGGGCCCCGCATCTTGTTTCTTTTCTTCCTTTTCTTCATGATGTTTTGTCACTTCTCCTGCCACGAGACCGGCCAAACCACCGGCGACCATCGCACTCTATACAAGCGTTAGTGAAGTAGATCACACAAAAGCCATGTCGCAATCAAGGACAAATACTGCAACTTACGCCTAGGACCGGCTCGCGGGCTTCGATGTCGTAAGTCAACTCGCGGTCGTATATGTCGCGGGCCTGATCATGAGGACATGTCTCAGTTTCACCATAGAACGCAGATGCTTTGACTTACTGTATGGGGCTCAGAAGGGATGGCGAAGGCCGTAGCCATCAAGACAAAGACGGTAGCGACGACGGCGCGGACCATGGCGAGTGAGAGAGCGTGTATCAGAGACGAAAATGGACGGAGCGAAGTGAGGCGTTCAGTGGCCGACCAGCAGCAAGCTTGACAACTAAGAGAGAGAAAATACGAGAGACTGCCTGCAGTTCTGTAGAGTTCCACAACGTGTCCTGCTCGAGTTTATATACGGCCGCCGGCGACGAGAGGGAAACAAAGGCAGTCTGAGCCTCGTAAAGATCATGCATTAGACGACAAGTTGCTTTGCCGACAGAGATATCAGACCAATGGGCTGTGTGGAGACACCCTCAAACCCGACCCGGAGAACGCGCTCAGGCGATGTACAGTATTACTTGATGAACACTGCTTTAGCGAATCAAATTTCAAAGATTGGTTGATTGTTTCATGATGTTTCTTCGTAGCGTGAGTGCCGCCGCGCTTGCAAGGGTAAAGATGCTGCCCGGTGCACTCACTGCAAGTCTGCACAGGTTGGTATCCGTCAGATGGATGATTGATTGGCCCTACATTTCGGCGAGCGAGGATCATGATGCTACTCAGAACCAGACAGGCCAAGCTGTTGCATGTAAAGCTGTCCTTAATGATTGTCTGAGCTGTCCGATTCGGTCTTCAGGCCATGGAAATTTGAAAGTTGACATCCTTTAGCATCCCGCGAGAAGCCGCGCTCAGGAAATTACAGATTTCAGATTGCAAGAATCACAATCGCCGAGCGGAGACAAAGCCGTGATGAATGTCGTACCAGTTTGCAAGATCAACGGTAAGTACGAGTAGGCACTTGACTTGGAACTTGGACAGATTCAAAACCATCACTAGTCACTACCGGCATGATATCGACATCAATGGTTGAAATTGAAATTGAAACGTTGACTCATCGCGTTGATTGCCCATTTCGGATTCTGCGATATGACGTCAAAGTGAAGTCTGTTTCCACCATCTCATCCCAGTCATATGGAGGCAGTGTCACGACAGTTTTCTGACAAGCTGGACAACTTTCATATCCTGAAAGCTTTCATCCTGGCTACACTTTGTCTCCTTGTGTACAAAGCGCTACGTTTCAACCGTTCAAGGATTTCTTGGTCAGCGGCGGCGTCCGTTGCACAGTCGTCGTATAGCACTCCATTCTCGACCGTCTCCGGTCCATCTGGCACACCGAAGATGTCGAGCGATGAAGTCAAGAAGCCGGAATCCGAGTGGCGAGCTGTTTTATCACCCGAGCAGGTGCGGACTTTGTTTTATCTGTCTCTATCTTTCACGCCAAGGGATGTTAAGTTCAAAATCCTGCGCAAGAAGGGAACGGAACCTGCTTTTACGGGCAAGTTCGATAAGTTCTATGAGGACGGCATCTATTCTTGTGCAGGGTGTGGTGCTCCTCTGTACAAGAGTGCCACGAAGTTCAAGGCAAGTCTACTCCGGTACCCGAGATGATCACCTGGTTGATTAGAACCCACTCTGAAGAGCGGATGCGGATGGCCTGCGTTCTTCGATGGTCTGTATCCTATTCTGATTGTCTCATTGAGTTTGTCACGTTTGTATCTCAGCCATTCCTGGAGCAATCAAGCGTTACGAAGATAATTCTTGGGGTAGGTCGAGAATCGAGATTACATGTGCCAAGTGCGACGGACATCTCGGCCACGTTTTCAAAGGAGAGGGTTTTCCAACCCCCAGTGCGTAACTATGGTGATGATCTGGAGTGGTTGACCTTTAATTCATTGTTTTCAGCTGACGAGCGCCACTGTGTCAATTCCATATCTTTAAATTTCTCGCCCCAGGATAAAATAGAGGAGGAAATGGAATAGAGTACACAATATAGATAAATTGTCCGTTGGTTGGGTCTACAGTGAAAAGTCTTACGGCGCAACGCGTTTACATATTCCCCACAGCCGACTCGAACGACTGACCTCGTCATCGAACGTGACTTACTAGTGACGCGCTCTACCAACTGAGCTAGCGGGGATATATAATTCCCTCTTCAGCCAGCTTCATATCTGAGATGGCTACTTCAGGAAATGCGGGGACAATCACCTATTGCCTCCGTCCTCCAAGCCGGCCTTTATTCACAAAGCCACTCCGCTCATGTAAACCAGCAGCGATTTGTTTATTTTTGTCTGTTTGTCTTCTTCTCTTGGAAATATTCCTATTTGTATATCTAAACATGAGCTGGAAATTGAAAGCAAACAGCAAACCAGCGGTTGCGTCTTCAAGCTCCGTGACGCTTGAGGAATTAGACGCGCACGCGTCGGTATCGCGTGCGCGACTGCGAAAGCGCAAATCTCGAGATCCTCCGCAAGAATCGCGCGTGGAAAAGCGTCGAAAGTGTAATGGACCGTCGCTCCTCTCGTCCATGTTGAGAGAGTGCATGGCCAAGCGCCGCACCCCGCGCCGTTTGCGTTTCGTACGTCGAGCTCACTCAATCAGCACACGGTCCTCCTCTGAAAGAGTTGTAGCCCCGCTTTCCCACTCCAACGCTTGTGCGAAGCTCTAACCTGCGCTTTTGTATGGGTGCAGGCCAGGATGAGCCGGTCGAGGCGCCATTCAGGCAACCGGCTACTGGTGAGTCCTGACAGTTGGCAGGTCAGTCAGCCACCGTAACCTGATCTTTCGTTCTAGAGAGTGCACCAGAGCGCGGTTGTGAAAGGTACATCACCAACACGCGCGAGAATGTACCGGATTCAACCGGCTTCAAACGGCAAGTACTGCTTCGCTTCAGTTTCCTGGCATGCACTTACCTTGTTCTCAATTGTCAGCCATCGTCAGATTGATCCTGCGCGCCAGGATGATTCGGCGCCTTCGCATCCCGGTCGCGACTATATCGAAGATTCCGTTGGTGAGCTGTTGTACGCATTCATAGCAGACAGGCGCCTTGCTGATACGTCATGTGCAGTACGCCGTGACTCACTCGCAGAAGTTGCAGTGGGGACACCAAAGCGCGTGCAAAGACACAAGTCGTTCACTCAGCCACAGCGCTGCTGCTTCCCTTCCGGGACACTGCCCTCTTTCTTTCCCGTTGTGTGCTTCGGCCGAGAAAATATGGGACCGCCTTGTTCGGCGTACGAGCTTGTTGCCGCGTTCGATGAAGCCGGCCAGGGTAGTGCGGCCAAAGAAGAACGCCATATTACCGCATCTGGGGAAGTGACGCCGGCTAGTGCAACTAAGGAGTCAAATGAACGTGTCTCAATGCTGAGTGACGCCCATCCAATCAAGGAGGAAACCAATGCCCCACTCATGGACCAGCGACCGGCGTCCGATCAAGGTCCCCAGTGTCCAGACCCACCTTCTAATTCCCTTGACTTACCTAGCGAGACACAATGTCTCGATGAATTCAGCTTTGAGGCCATCTCCGAGTTTGAGTATGGCCCGTTGACACCCAACGTGGACGTGGACCCCACAGAATCCTGCGCGCCGTTATTGCCCAACGACAGTATTCGGACCCTGCCTGCGGTCGCGCCTACGTCGATGCAGTTGGACACTAGCTTGGAGGCCTTCTCGCTGTCTCCTGGATTTGCGTCCCTAAATTCAAACCTGAAGGTGCATACGCCACCAGCAGCATTGTCTCCGTCGCCGTCGTCAAGTTGCGCCTGGTCTCTCTCGCCTACTGTTTCTCGTCGGACTCCACGCTCCCCGGGATCTCCGGGCTTGGTGCCCTCGCTCACTTCGTCTCCGTCCACGACCTACGAGGACTCTCCACCACAAACGCCGGCTGCTTATGATGGTGCCCCACGTGATTCGATTCCCTCTCGCAAGGATGTGCTCGGACCGCAGCCTGCCCTCGTGCGTGATGACAGTCCCATCTTCCAGGAGGACTTGATGTGTGCTGGTGGTGATATCGCGGTTGCTTCTTTCCACAATTCCCTTTATCCGCCTAGTTCAGACCCCTTCGCTAGCACGTTTGATAGCGTTGGATTTGACGGTTTCGACGATAAGTCCGATGATAAGTTCTTCCAGCAACTTGTTCAGGGCGGCGAGTTTCCGGCATTTGTGAGCTCGGAATGGGGGGTGTAGGTGTTTGTTTGAAGCACGGAAAGATCTGTCAGGATGGTATATGTAGCCGTCCACGCCGCCTCGTGTAAGTCGCTGGCATCCACGAGTTTCACAAGACGGAGCTGATGTCGTATTAAGATTACGTGCTGCGGCGCGATAAGTTAAACTCCGGGGTCCCTCATATTGCGTGTTATTTGCAAGGGCGTGTCTTTCATGGGCCGTATGAATTTCCTATTTCCAATCCTGCCACGATCATACTGTCGCTCATCGCACTTGCCTGTTGGATCTCGTGTTGAGCGTTCCTTGAGTGCGCTCAGTGAACGGTGATGCTCTGTTCCACCATCGTTTTCTCCGTGCAATTTCCGTTATACCAGTTCATCCTCAATTCATGTCTGGTCTTTACTCGCCCCGCGCCCCATCCCCGTTGCAGTTGTCTTCTTTTTCTCTTCACTTCCTCATCCTGCCGGCACTATTATCAGTCCTGTCCCTGCTACATCTTCATCGCCGTGCTGCACCGTTGATGTGCTCTGGTTTCTTCTAGCAAACTTCGTGGCTCATCTCGACATTCTATTGTCCCGCTTTTTTCCTCCTTTGCTTTTTCGGATTATGCTTTATCCTTTCATCGTTGGGACTCACATCATTGGGTTTTTCATACGCAGCTACAACATAGCGCCTATTCTATCATGTATAATGCATGTCAACCAATTCCAATCACTGTCCATCTCACTCCCCATGTCGTATATCTGTTCATATCTACTATCCTTCCGTGTCCATCGCATTTGGTTTGCGTTTTCTTCTGTTGTCTGTAGTACTAGTCGTCGGATAATGTGCCTGTATTTCTGTTATAACATTCGGATTGCGAGCCCTTTTTTTGCTCAGCTTTTTCGGAGTACCCCGGATACAAAGTTGGCTGCGGTTGTCCAGCAATGTAGTGGAATTGCAGAGAAGGTATCTCTGCGATCGGATTGTGAGCTCTTCCTTTGTGCTGGATAAACCGTTAATAATTTGTGCCACTGGTGACGCATGCTCTTGGCAGGACCGCCTGGTGCAGGGTGTTCTGGTATCTGTTCTGGTGAGTTCTACCTAGATCGCAGCAGTTCGCAGCATCGCATTGGAGATGGTAACGCATCGATCCTGAAGAACTTGGACGCATGTGGTAAGTAGATTCCCTAGTATAGAAGACCCGTTCACGACACATGCGCTGCGCATTATCCACCTGAGTGGACGCCTGTAGACGCCCCGTCAGCGCAGCAATTCGTTATGGACTCTGTCATATTATAACCGAAAGCATGGATACATCGTGCGCTCCTTTTATTTTCCCTTTATTCATATCTCCACCGCTCGATGTATAATTTTCATGTGTTCAATGCTGTCCTGTCTGTTCTTTCGCTCGTCACGTTTCTCTCGTCGGAGGTGATCGCAGTGCTCGCCTTGCACAAGAGCGCGGCATACGACTTGGGCGAATACGGTAGCGCGCCGTTTCAGTCTTATGTCGTGTCAGAGTATCATCCGTGCGTTCTGAATTATTCATACCCTCAGTCCGGTGGGTGCGACTTATTTTCCTCAAGTGTTTTGTGGAATTACGAGGTATGTTTGACCGACACAACGAAGGAGAAGGTCGCAGATGGGTACATATTCTCCGCGCCCAAAGGTGCGTGGAACCGTGCATTTGCAGCTTGCTGTGCTGGGGCGTCATTCAACGAAAGTCTCCCTAGATGTCAAAATGCCAGGTCCTTTAATATTTAACCAGGATGGCCAGATGGTCTGGACAGGCTCTGAATATGGGCCAGCTATGTCGTTCTCCCTCGTATCCTACAAAGGGGAGGACCACATTATTATGTGGGAAGGTGATCTTGTTAACGGCCATGGCTCCGGATATACGCTGTTGTTGAACAACCGATACGAGGTCGTCGCCAAAGTGTGAGCAGCGATTACCTTCATCTATGTCCATCGAAGTTCAAAGAAAGCACAGGACGACTTCAGGCTTACTTGGAGATACTCTCAATGACTTGCACGAGGTACGTCCTTTGGTGTTATCCATATTTTGTTTGAACGTTCAAATTCAATTACTAGTCGGCCATGTCTCCGGGCGACACTATTCTATTGACGGCGTACGTTGTGACTCCGACGGACCTGTCCAGTGTGGGTGGTACGTCGGAGGGATGGATAGTCGACGGCGTTTTCCAGGAAGTTAACGTTACCACTGGTGAGGTGATCGACGGTCTCGCCCATGCCTCTCCTCATCTTCTCTCTTTTGTAGGCGAGGTTCTCTTTACGTGGCACTCCCTTAACCATGTCCCGCTTTACGAGTCGTATCAACCGATCGGGGGTGCAGGAGCGAACGATGATAATGCGTGGGATTATTTTGTATGACTTGCATCCTTAGCTCGATGGCCGTCTGCTCATAATGACCATACAGCACATCAATTCCGTGCAGAAAGACGATTATGGCCACTATTTGATTTCAGCCCGTCATACCCATACTCTGTACTATATAAATTCGACGGGCGACATAATATGGAAGATGGGCGGCAAGGATTCGACGTTTGCAATGTGTTCAAAATGTTCTTTCTCGTGGCAGCACGACTCGCGGCTTCACGGGAGCCATCAGGTCTCGTGAGTTAAAACACCGTTGTGTCGAATCTATCTTGTTGAACCCCTACAGCCTGTTTGACAATGGCGGCACGGATGCAGTTTTCGACGAGTCGACTTCACGAGGCCTTCTACTAGACATAAACTTCGAACAAAAGTCGGTTTCGCTTCACTCAGAGTACTTGCCGCCCCACCACGAGATTTCAAACTCGCAGGGTGGCGCTCATATACAGGAGAACGGTAATGCCTTGATTGGGTATGGCATTCGACCATCCTTTTATGTGTCCGCTAACAGCTTTCCGCAGTTGGGGTGCGGTACCTAGGATATCGGAGTATGATAACCATGGCCGCTTGTTATGGTCTGCAAAGTTTGCTCTGAACCGG